AATTGGTTCTCTTCTATACATTAAAGATATACACAGATCGACCTTAGTTGTGACAGTAATTGGAACTGGAATCATGGGACTCTCCCCGGTCATTAGGCAAGGGAGGAATCAAGCCATTCCCATCTTGATTCCTTCCAGTCCCAAGTCTTAGTAAGATAAGGGACCATATTTTCTTCAATTCCCACCATCACCAAGCCCCATCTCTGCCCTTTTGGTCACCCTGCACTCTGCTGCTTCTGCCAGCCCTGGGCTCTGTTCACCCTGCCATTCTGCACTCTGTTCACCCTGTGCTCTGCTCACCCTGCCCTCCACTCACCCTACGTTCTACTCACCCTGCCCTCCACTCTCCCTGCCTCTCTGTCATCCCCAGGTGACTTTTGCCATCTTCCTCCTGTTGTTTACAAGGCGTACTCAGCCTGGCCCTTCATAAGGGCTTTTCTCCCGAGGCTGCATGCAGCCTGGTCCAAATCATGTACAGCTCTCTTGCAAGGTGTAAGTACCATTCCTTCAACACCATCATAACTTCAACGCTTGTTGAACAAATGGTCGGTAAGCAAGGACAAAATGTATATTGAATGTATATTAAAACATATATTGAATATATACATTCTATGGCACAGGTGTCAAACTCACCGCATCACGTGACATGTCACAACATATCGCGACTTTTTCATATTGCTGGAGCTGGGGTGGGTGCGGCCTCCGCATGATGCAACCAGCCTGCAGGCCGGCAGTTTGACACCCCTGTTCTATGGCCTCCCAAGCAGTTGTGTCTCCTTTCTTTGTCAATTTTTTGCTTACTGGAAAAAGAAGCTCCTTTTTACATCTGTTACTTTATCCAATGTAATCATAAGGGATCACCAGAAAATCTTTGTATTTAGTGAGCAAATAACCTGAAATCAAAATGTCTTTATTCACTATCAAAATTAATGGAAAATGCCTTAGTTATAAATTCAAAGATGATGATTATTTCAAACTCATTATGATAGTGTTGATGGTAATAATTAAGTTATTTTAGATAATTTGAAATTTATAAAGGTTTTATTGCTCACCCAACGTCAAAAGCTTCTGGGCAAGTAAAACCAACAACTCACAAAACATATTATAAAAATTAAGAGTAGTAATCAATTCACTAGTAGTATATTAAATAATAAATAAATCCTCCCCCAACATGGATGCTAATAAACTTAATTGAAGTCTTAGTAAAATCCAACTAACTTTAAAGATCTGAAAACCATGAGAGGGAAGTTTATGTGGAAAGTGTGAGGGCTGCTACAGGACCATGCAACCATTATAAATACATGCTGATTACCAGGTGCTTGAATTTTAATCACCTGACTATGGGAATCCTATAATGGTTGTAAGAGTGAGGACTGGTCAAAAGTCACTTTTTTCAATGCCATTGTAATTTTGAATGGCTGCTAAACAAATGGTTGTAAATAGGACAATTGGTACTTATAGTCAAATGTCACCACAGTTCAAAAGAAAAATATCAAAATATGTGATTTATAAATGAGATCAGTTTCCTACAGATTAAAGTAATATATATCCATCCAATTTTACAAGAACTAGGCCCTCTGCAGTTGCTCATCTGTGATGAAATCCAATGACATTTAACATTTATATATTTACATAGCGTACCTCTTTTAAAGAAATAGAGCCACAGTGTTCCTTTGTAAGACTCCTGCTGTTTTGAATGCTGTTTGCCAGTTCAAATCTACTGAAATGTCCTGTTGTTGTTTTAGATTAGTTACTTCAATTAAAAAAAATCTATTAACTGTTATCCTTGACAGCTGCATGGAATCCAAATTGTCAGAGGCAATATGGAAACAAGTATCAGGGAGAAAAGAACAAACCAGGGGTGGCATTTGCAGTTTATCTCACAAAAACATCCAGTTAGCCATTGCTTAAGATACTTTCCATAAATGGCTTTGATGTGTGTAGCAAGACAACTGTTTCTTTCTTTCTTGATAGCTAACCTTTAAAAATCCCTAGTAATTTTACAGAGGTGAGCAAAGGCATGTCATTTACAAAGCTGAAGCCATGTGAAGCATAACTTGCTTAAAATGTTTAACCAGCTAATAAATCAGAAGTTAAGGAAAAAAATAAGCTTTCATTTGTTACCCAGCCTGAATTTTACTGGAGTCTGAAATGACTGCTCAAACATTCACATTATTATTTTGCTACTATAGTGCTGTACTGATTGTGAGCATGCTGCTGTAACAGATGTTTATTAAGTATTAAACCATATACATTTTTAGAAAATGAACTGTGCCTCTTTATTAAGATGTCATGCCATGCAGTTAAACTGGGGTTATTTTACTGGGCAATACCATGTCTTTGTTAACAAAAGTGTATCTTCATTGTGATTTCACTTATTTTATATGATATGCTTGGAAAGACTTATATCTTTCAATTCCTGGGCCAACCTAAAGTACCAGCCAAACATCTCTGCATTGTTGTAACCATCATGCATAAGGCAGCAAAGTACTTGTGGGACCACCATCCTATTAGGTTAAAGTTTGTGATTATAGATAATACCTGTTAATAGTCTGATTCCATGAAAAAATCCTTTAATCCCCACCACCACACAAAAAAGATGATTTAATTTGAAATTATCGGGAGACTTCTCTGGTTTTACTTTGATTTGAACATGATGGCACTAGAACTGTAAATAAAACCTAGTTACATAAAAGTGAATGCAGCAGGCATCACATTGTCACTGGGGGTGGGGGAATAGTTCAGGTGGGAAAACAGTGGACTGAGATCCCATGGAGACCTGGAGACGTTACAGGAATGAAATCTGATTTGCCAAAAGGAAAGAACTTGAGATCATCCCGTATGTAGTTCAAAAAACTGTTTGTTTTCTTCAGTAGACTGTAGGAACCTAGGTTTTCACAATTGGCTTGCAAACAGTTGAGGGTTATGAGATTTCACCAAGCTCAAGGCCCACAATGTAGTCTTTACAGATTCAAGGTTCACTCAAAATTCACTTCTTAATCACTTGAATATATTAAAAGGGTAATTAAAGTGTTGATTTCACAAAGTTTTAAATAGATTAAGGGTACAGATGGACTAGAATTATTTAAAATTTGTTATAATAATCCTTTCTGTGGGAAACTGTTTACATCTCAAAAAAGAAAAGTTTGAAGGTTGGTCACTAGAGAACACCAGAAGGAAATGAATACATCAATGGATCTGTTGAACAAGATCTATAACTATTGGGTTTAGAAAATAATTTTAAAGATATCTGCTATTAGAGATAAACCAGATGGTATCAGGGAAAAAGAACAAGTTGCACTGAATAAAACTGAAATTGATTTTAAATGTGAATTTAAAAACAATCATCTACAAGAAAGAGATGAAAAAACATGAAATAGTTTATCCAGAAAAAGATGGATTTACAAATGGGGTTTCTGAAAATTGCCAATGATTTTGTGAGAAAAGACAAAAAGCATAAAAAGAATAGAGATGCTTGGACATTTATCTGAGAGCACTAAAGATTCTTGTGAGAAAGGGGAAAGAATACAAAATTGGTTTATTTGATCAAGGTTAAAATAGGTGGATTGTTATTTGGGTAATATTTAGTAGATTTATAATGACTAGAACTGGATGACGATGTTTTAAAGGTTTTACTTATCTAAAAAGATGAAACAGGGTGATTTGTTTAAATAGAAAATGAGATATAAATGTAAAAGGAAAAATTCAAAGTAAGTTTATTACATATAGCTTGTAATAGTTGTCATTATTTATGATAACCCTTATTGGACTTTTGCTGATTTAAAATGGAGTGATGAGGCTTTAAAGATTTGTTTATACAGAGATGGTTGGTTCTACTGTAAGGGATGGTGATAAGTTGTTAAGGTAAAGCATGGTGATGTTGTATATTTTTGCTTCTTTTGGTGTTGTTTCTTCTTTTTCTGCACCTTTTTATTTTTCTAATGTTTTTGTTTTCATTTTTTTATTTTTTAGAGTTTGTATTAGTTTTCCCTGTGTAATCTGTAATAAAAATATTATAAAAACATATTGTGATTGGGTAATTGGTTACTATATGTTAGTACATCAGAAATTCATGTCAGATGCATACCACATTAATATGCTAATGTTGCACACACAGGAATTGCAACCTGATATAAACACAGACTGCAATTCAGTAGTAAGAAATGAGTTTGATGTCGCCTCCCCCATTGCATCTCATTCATTTGGAGGCAAATCTCTGACTCTGTATTCGTAAAGTGGAGCAAATCTACTTATAGTTTTCACAGTGGTAAAATGTAGCGTACTTCCAATATGGTTCTGTTTTATCTGAATGGTAGCAGGGACATAAATTTCTCCAGCCTCATGCCCATCCCACCCATCCACCCACCTCCGTGCATAACCTATTTCTTCCTATTACTCTTCCAATTAACGCATTAAGGAATCAAAATCTAGAGAATTTTAGGAAGCTGCAATATACAGTAGTAACCCTCCTAATATAACCAAAGAAAAATATTTTGATACAAGCTGCAGTTCTACTGGACAGCCATTTGTCAGGAATGGGAGAGGGTTTCTTGCTTGAGCAAGAGGTTAGACTAGAAGACCTCCAAGGTCCCTTCCGACCCAATCAATCTCCGTTCTATGTTCCTTCCAGAAGACTCGCATTAACGTAGCTCTAGATAAGCTACTGCATCAGGACCTCCCTCTTTCTCGGGAGGACCATTAATAAAAATGCAGCATAGAGCCCGCGGGAGTTGCAGCAATAAGAAGTGGGCCTTCCCGGAACGGAGCCGTTTGCCCCGCTGCCTTCCTTTCCGAGGGACACCGGAATAGCCGGCGACCATCTAGGCAACCTTGGCTCTTTTATGACTCGTGGACTTCAACTCCCAGAATTCCTGAGCCAGCATGGCTGGCTCAGGAATTCTGGGAGTTGAAGTCCACGAGTCATAAAAGAGCCAAGGTTGCCTACCCCTGATTCTAGGGCCTGTCATGGGAAGAAAGAGGACGGTGCGGATTCCTCTTACCGACTCACAGCCGCGAGGCGCGGAGGGAGCCGAAGCGGCTGCTCTGCCGCGAACTCCCCGCCTGCCGCGTCCTCCGCCTCCTCGGCTGTGGCTGTCTTCGCTGCTGCTCTCCGCCGGCTTCTCCCTGCCGCCCGGCCGTCTTCGGTTGGGCCGGCCGCCTCCCCTTCGGGGCCGGCCGCCACGGTCGGGCTGCATTACAATGCCTCGGGCGACCGCGCTCGACGCGGCCGGACTTCAGCGGATTCGCGTGGATCTCCGCCTCCGCCGGAAAACAGGCCGCTGCAGGAACTGGAGGCCGCGTCAGCCGGGCCCGAAGGATGGGGTCGCTGAACCCGCGCCAGGCACTTCCCCGCCGGCGCTCTCTGCCTTGAGAAGCGGATCCTAAAGAGGAATCCGCTGCGGGGCTCTTGCAAATGGAGCGCTCGGCTACTTTTCTTCGAGAAGAAATACAGAAAAGCGGATAAAATGGATCCAAGCCTAAATTTCTAATAGTTAACGGCATTATCCCATTTTTCTTAAAGCACAATAAGACGTTATTATTAACTCTGGTGGTGATGTGGGTGCATCCATAAACATGCATGTTAAGAAGTAATTTCCCCTTTAAATACCTAACATTATAGAAAAGTAACTAACGTGTACCAGAAGAGGTCACAAATCTATTAATTCAGACAATGTACTTCATAACAACAATGCAGAACTGTATCTTAATCAAGTTCTTGGAGAAACACCCATAAAACCAATTTTGAAGCAATACAAAGTTAAAACATATAGCTCTGTCTCTTCCTCAACAGCTACATCTCACTTTTAAATAAGATGCCTTGTCCTGTGGACAGTTCAGTAGCATCCCAGGGTTGTCTAGGAAGGGGATTGTCAATACACAAACATAATATTTAATAGAGAAGTGTCCACAGAAGTGAAAGAAACCCCAAAGTTGCCACTGCAAATCAAAGCCCCACCTCTTTTAGATTTGCACTGATGTGTGCAGGTACAAAGGGATGAGGCTGTGATGGTATAACTCAAACAGCCTTCTTGGCTGTTCCCTATGGAGACTCGTGATTTTATACATCTGTAGGGATCCTTCATACATTTTTCTCACATGCATTTAACCACAACACAAAACATACCTTGGCAATGTCTATGGAAATTCTCAATCACCCAGGCTATGGTTGTCCCAAAGGTGCTTTTCAAAAGGCAACTGGACTTTCTTGGGTTTTTTTTTAAATACATTTCGCTTCTCATCCAAGGTTCTTGGAAATGTGTTCAAAGAAAAAATAAAGTCCTTTTGAAAAGTACCTTTGGGATAGCCTGGCAACCATTTTGTTGAGCACTTCCAGGATGTTGACTTCACCTAATACTCCCAAGTCATACATGATACAAGAGAAAATGCCTACCTGGTCAATGTTAAATATTTTCCCTCTGGTTGCAACACATATTTGCTTCACCAACCAGTCTATTGGGATGACCTCAAGAAGTTAACTTCAATCCAGCTCCAATTGGCCAGTATGCACTATTGGATATAAGCTCCCTTCTCTCTTAACTGTTCAGAGAGCCATTTGGCCTCTTCTCTAATCTACCAGGGTTTTTGAACTGAACCAACCTCAATAATTTAGTCTTTGTTGTATTGTAACAGTTTATTGTATTATCTTTTTGTTGTTGTTGTTGTTCATGTTTAATTTTTGGAGGCTGCCTGGACAAGTCCTTACAGTTTTCTTGGCAGAAAGGATTTGCCATTTCCTCCATCTTAAAGCTGAGAGAAAGTGACCGGCCCAAGGACATCCACCTCAACTTTGTGCCTAAGGCAGGACTAAAACTCAGTCTCCCTATTTCTAGTCCAATGCTTTAACCACTACACCAAACTGGCTCTCACTGCATTATCTGTTACATTTCACATTGTTCTTTTTTGACAATAACATAATTCAATTTCTTCCGGCCCAGCACCCTTTTTGGCCTTATTCTCTCTTTGTAGTATTTTCTCCGCTAAATGTCATCTTTAGTTTCTTTTATTAACTTGTCAGATCCAATTTCTATTACTGTTTTTAAAGGCTCCTTGAAGACTTATTTCAGTTCCAAAAATATGTTTGCAATATAATAGGACTGTAGTATCTCTGATGTGCAGTGCAGTGAAGTGCAGAAAGAATGCTATCTGAATCATCGCATATCAGATCTGGAGATTCACATCTGAATATATCTCAGGTTGTTAACTTTCCTTCTAGGTTGTGGAGCATGCCTTTCATTCTGTTGGCTGGGGATAATGGGTGTTTTAGTCCAAAGTGGTTGGGCAGCATCAGCCTGTGGAGGCCATCTGTGCATCTCTCAATATATTATTTTCGTTAATACTATTTTATTATTACACTTTGTTAATACTCACAGATGCATAGCTGGCATATAAAACCATCATCTGTGATCAGAAGTTGCAACTCTAGTATTCTGGTAGTGCCAATTGCTGGAACATTCTGACCTTTTTTGCCTTTAAACATTTTTTCCCAGGTGGAAGATGTTAGCAGTAGAATGGAACTGAATTTGGTTTCCATTTCAATTTTCCATAGTTCAATTAATCTAACTTTGAGTTGGCAAATTGTGGGAAATTATCATGGAACTTGATAAGATTCAGTTGCCTAGTTCTACTAAAGTTGCTTTTGCTACTTTTCAGTAAAGCTAGCACTAATACCCCATATAATGGTATGCTGCCAAGCAGCTCTAACACAGAGACCTTGCAAAATGGAAATCAAATCTGTATAAATACTCCTAAATGTTTGTTCTTTAGACAAACTCTGAAATTGAACATGGTCTGCACTTCATAGCCTGCATATAAAATGGCTAAATAGCAAAACAGTGCAGTAAAGTTATGTTGTAAAACAGTTTTGTTTAATAAACTGAAGAATAAGATCTAATTGGCTTACTTGTATGCATAACACCAAGCTAGATACGAATATGCCATCAGAAACCATGTTGCTTTTTCATTATTCAGTAGGCACTAAGAAGCAATTTTATTGGGAGCCAGTGAATATACATGGAGATTAAGTTAAAGCTACCTTTTCCAGCTGTGACAATACAAACTGTGTGTATCACTTTTAACACTCTGACAGATGCTTTGTTTGTAAAGGTTATAGATATACAGTAATAGGGAGGGGTTTAATCAATTTTTCATCAGGAAAGAGATACAACTTACTAACATTTAACAGTGGTTAAAATTTTAAGATCATCACTCTAGACTAACTTTTGTAAAACACAGCAATCTGAGAGCAGAAGAGACATGTTGCTCAGATTCAGTTCAAGCCAGGTTTGCTGCATATGTCCCCAATGTCTTTGTTTGTTTGTTTGTTTGTTTGTTTGTTTGAAGCAGATACTTGCATGATTGAACTTAAACATGAATTTTGTGTTTTGAAATCTTAATCTTGATTTCATATCTTCCCTTATAAATTACCTCTTTATTTCTTGTGGCAAGAAAGCATTATAAAAATGTTTTTCAAGCCTTTCTTGTCAAGTAAGTCATTATAAAACAATGTTGACTGGATATTAATAAAGACTATGGCTCTCATTATTAATTCCTGTTTAGCGGGGCTTTTTCTCACTGTTAGTGAATGTACTATACAAATTATAGAATTCTGATTTCTGTTACATACAATGTTCTGTAAAAATCAGCAACCTACATATTCCAAGGTAACGTGACTTGATTGAATGAAAGCTACCACTGAGCATAAATTGCATCTGTTGATTGATACTTAATTTGATACTTACAAAGATACTTAATTTGAGGTTCTGCAAACCATTCAGAGAAACACTTTCTGAAGCAGCTTTCCTACATCATATGAGCATGAAAATGAAACCCCCGATAATACTTCCACCTGGATTGCTGCTGAAGAATAGATGGAAAGCAGAGCCATTCAAAGTGGGTGTGTTAAGCAAAATGTGATAGTTTGAAAAGCAGATTTGGAAGAGTACTTGAGTTGCATTGTTAAACTGTCCTTCAAAAGATTCATGTATACTTCATCTAAAATATCTTTGAAATTTGATGAAATCCACAATTAAAATTGGACAACAGATTAATAGTTTTTCTAATGCTAAATTCATTTGGCAGGTGCCCTTCATTTTATGAATTTTTTCTCTGTTTGTCATTTAAAGGATATCTTCAAATTACAGATGAAGAACCTAGAGCAAATTAAAAGACACTGATGTTAATTCACCAAAAAAAAGAATGGAAGACAAGTTACACAGCAACTTGACCATCACCAATGGTTCAACTTCTAGTCAAAAACCACATGAAGGCCATAGTCTTTGGGAAGTAATCACCATTGCTACTGTAACGGCCATTTTAAGTTTGATAACCATTGTGGGAAATGTTCTGGTAATGATATCATTCAAAGTCAACAGCCAGCTCAAAACAGTGAACAATTACTATTTACTCAGTCTTGCCTGTGCAGACCTTATTATTGGAATATTTTCTATGAATCTTTATACATCATACATATTAATAGGGCACTGGTCTCTTGGAATTTTGGCATGTGATTTATGGTTAGCACTCGATTATGTAGCTAGTAATGCTTCAGTAATGAATTTGCTAGTTATCAGTTTTGACAGATACTTTTCTATTACACGTCCTTTAACCTATAGGGCTAAACGCACACCCAAAAGAGCTGGGATTATGATTGGTTTGGCTTGGCTAATTTCTTTTATTCTGTGGGCACCTGTAATATTATGCTGGCAGTATCTTGTAGGGGAGAGAACTGTCCCACCTGGAGAATGTCAAATACAATTTTTGTATGAGCCTATTGTTACCTTTGGTACCGCAATTGCTGCTTTCTATATCCCAGTTTCAGTGATGACTATTTTATATTGCCGCATTTACAAAGAGACTGAAAAACGAACCAAGGACTTAGCTGAGCTTCAGGGCTCCAGCTCTGTGACTGAGTTTGAAACGATAAAGCCTCAGAAAACACTGCTGAAATCTTGCTTTAGCTGCAGACAACAAAATTTGACCAAAAGAGACCAATCTCAGGCTTCGTGGTCTTCATCCAGTCGAAGTACTTCTGCCACAGCAAAAGCATCTCAGATTCAAAACACCTGCCAAGATTGGTCTAGGGCAGAGCAGCTGACCACTTGCAGCAGCTATGCCTCATCTGAAGAAGAGGAAAAATGTCCCCCTGATTCAGTCTTTCAAGTAGCTTATAAGACCCCTGTAAAAGAGCTGGTTGATGAGCAAAAAGTAGAGAAAAAGGAAGCTTTTATCAAAGACCAACATAAAGAGAATGACTATGACACCCAGAAATATTTTCTAACCCCAACCAAAAGTCAGGTGCAAAAAAGTAATAAATGTGTAGCTTATAAGTTCCGGTTGGTGGTTAAAGCTGGTGGTGCACCAGAAACTAACAATGGCTGCCGAAAAGTCAAAATCACTCCTTGTTCTGCCAGTTTATCCAAAGACGCTTCCATCAAAAATATGGATCCTAATCTAAGTAATCAAATTACTAAAAGGAAAAGAATGGTTCTTATAAAAGAACGTAAAGCAGCCCAGACTCTAAGTGCCATTCTTCTAGCTTTTATAATTACCTGGACCCCCTACAACATAATGGTATTGGTTTCCACATTCTGCTCAAATTGCATTCCTCCAACACTGTGGCATCTTGGCTATTGGTTGTGCTATGTAAATAGTACTGTGAACCCAATTTGTTATGCCTTGTGTAACAAAACATTCAGAAAAACCTTTAAGTTGTTGCTCTTCTGTCAATGGAAGAAGAAAAAAATGGAAGAAAAATTATATTGGCAGGGTAATACAAAGCTGCCTTAAGTTAAAATGAAGTAGCTTAAACACAATAATCTTGGCCAGAGAGTGTATATTAGTTACAGGTCTTTATTTGTAAAGTTGTTGTTTTGTGTGTTTGGAAGCAAAAGAAGCAACATTTCTATGATTTATGATATGAAGGAAGCAGTCACAATGTTCAACATTTCTGTAATTGGAACAATTCAAAGGCGCATTTTGAGTGTTGTTATTAGGACATTTGGTCCTGCACTTCTGCTCAATAATGGCAGGACATAGGACCTTAATAATTGGTGATTGAACAGATCCATAAATGTATTTGGTTCACATTCTTGCAGAGTAACATTATGCCTTCTTAAATATTTTTCCAGTACTTTTTCAAGTTAAATTGTAGATCTGCAATATACTGAAGTTAGCACTGTTCACTTTGCAAAATTATCTACTAATTGAATGAATACAAAGGGAATGCATATATCTGTAGCCCATGATAAATGATTGAAATTGTTTTTTGGAAGGCAAAATTGTTCCTGATGTCAGCTTGAGTTATGAACAATGACTGAATTTGAATTCATCTTTTTTTTAAATTGGGGCTAGATGTGACTTGTAAGGGGAAAGGTCATTTATAAAGAGCATATTGGAATAGAATGTGATTATTTAAATATTTAAAATTGCCGTAGTGAGAGTTACATATAAAGCTCACATCAAACACTAGCATTTCATATTTTATATCCACAGTTTTATAAACATTTGCATGAAATAGTTTTGGGTCATATTCCTCTTTGAATGTTATAAATTGTACAATCAGACATGAATAGTATTATAGCATTTTAAAGAGAGAGAGAGAAATATGTAAAACATCTACCTCTCTTTGTTTAGATGTTTAGTGGCAATGTTCAAATCCCTAATCCCCACAGTAAAAGTAATTAAATCCATTGGGCAACAGTTAGAACTTGTCAAAGATTCTATCCCTTCAGTCTGAATAGGAATTATAATTTATATAAGAATGTATATTTAATACATAATTGTTTCAGCAAAAAATGTGAATCTTTTAAAACAAAGACAGGTAACTAGAATAGTTTCTGAATAGCAGAGTCTGTACTAAAATCAGCTACCAAAATTAACAGATCTTGACAAAAACAAACAATTACAATGAGAAAGTGAAAATGTAAGTCCCATGTCTTTTGGATCCAGATTTCTATAGTTATCTACCTGGATCCAGGTCTAATTCTATGAAAATAAAATAATTTAATTATCTCTTGAATCTTATAAATTTATAAATCTTATAAAAGATTTCTTTTTCCCATATTTGGGCTGACAGGGTGCATCGTAAAAAAAAAACACTCAAGGCAAATCTTATAAATACATACATGGTTTCTCATTTGAAAAGGTTTCTCTCTCCAATTCAGTGGAATAGTCAAGCTCTTCATGTAAAGTGATATACAGTAGATGGGGAAATGCATTCTATTTGTGAATAAGAATATGAAGCATTTTGGAACTCCATATATGGATGTTAATGCACAGGAATTCTGGCTTGGATAGTAATGCTAAAGTCAATTCAACACTATAGAAAAATTGAGCTATAGGATTAGAAGAATCCGAAGTTCACGGACAGGTGGTTTTTGTAATTCTAAGTTGACTGTCAAGCTTTGCACATTCATTATTTGTTGAACTGCAATTTAAATGCAGAATCAGTTCACATCCACATATATAGCTTGGTATGGTTACTTGTGTAGTAATAATATGATTGTAAAGTGTAATTTTGCAGAGTTCTGAGATAACACAGCAAAGTTTATGAGCTGCAAAACAATTACTACGGATTCCAATGAGGTCAAAAACTCTTTCTTATAGAGCTTGTCCAGTGATTTTTAAAAAGCTTCTCCATAAGTACTGATTGAAACAATATTTCAGATAACTTGACTACATGGTGAGTTATTTACAAAAGAGTCCCCCAATTATTTTTATAGTGGGACTAATCATAATTTAAACAAAATGTATAATAATGTGAACATGTGACTGATTCTAAATGTTTCTGTATTGTGCCAATTGTTTTGGGAGCTATGCTGTTTGTTAAAGGAAAATGTGGATTCCCATAAAGACCTTTTGATTATTATCTTCAGTCAACATTGAAGCATATCCATTGTGCTTTGGGGTTTTCTGGCTTTAAAAAATACATGTATGTATGATATGTGTGTGTCCGATTCAAATGACAATGCATTTCTATGACTCAAGCTATGTAATATTGGCAAAATGTGTTAAGATTGTAAAAGTTATTTGCTTGTTGCAATTTTATTGCTAAAAAACCTGCCTTCTACTATTGAGGTTAAATGGAAAATTATTGTCACCTTTATAAGAATGTTTTATATATGTTTATGGTATGTGTTGAATAGATATATAAGACTACACAGTGATGGATGCCAAAGTATCAGTTTTCTGTTAAATATACGCTCAACCTATGCTGCTAAAAACTGAAACGTTACATTTCCAAACTCTGGGATACATACATGGTAAATATCTGGTACCATATTAAAATAGTGTGTGCTTATTTCCTTTCCCATACAGTACATTTGCATATAATTTAGAAGGTGCAAATTGAGAGTTATCTAACAACAGTGTCAAAATTGTAGCTTTTCATTTTGAAGAAATAGAAAGACAGAAATATGTAAGATTTCATGGCAGGAAAATCTGAATAGGAAAATAAATTCAACATAGGTGCTGGTGTCTAAAAAAGAAGATGCTTAGAGCTCAGTCACAAACAATTACAACATTAAAAAGACAATTTGAGAAGCCAGGACAAAGTTACACAAACTTTTTCATGGCAATATAAAGTCAAAACAAATATACAGGATAAGGAAAGGCAAGTGACTCCGGAGCAATATAGACAAATAGGCTGAAATTAAGCAGAAATTAAAGTATTATGTGGATGATTTAAAGCTAACTATTGTGCAACTACAGAGTGCAAAAAGACAGTTGATGAAAACAATTAGAGGTTTTAGTGAATTCTCAGGATAGAAAATTGACATACTAAAAAAAATCCCCTAGAAGGAAAAAACTTGGTGCAGAAAGGGTTGGGATGCCAGACAAAGTCCAGTAAAATATTTGGGATTGTTCCTGATTGGTGGTAACAAAGATATATTTAAAAATTACCTCAGATTGTGGAGAAAAATTTAAAAATATTTTCAAAGATAGAAAAAAATCAATTTTTACTTGTTAGGATTAATTGTGATTGTTAATATCAATATATTACCTAAGGTTTTTGTTTTTTTTACTTATTTGAAATGATGCCAATTTCAATTCCAGAAAAAATCTTGCAAGATGGGCAGATAGTCAGTAGATTTATTTGGAGGGGGGAAATGTAGAATAAATGTTATGAGATTCAAAAAATAGTGTTGAACTAGGTCTTCTGAATTTTATATTATATTACAATGCAAGTTGTTCATCATGGATAACAATAGATAAAATCCCTAAATATCAAAATGTCAGTATGAGAAGGAGCTGACCCAGCTAATGGGCTTCCCAGTATGATTGCAAAGAATATAAAAATTTGAAAGGGCATATTATTAGACAAAGCTTGATAAAAGCATGGAATTCTATAAAAAGAATAAGTTCAGCAACCTCACCTCTAGCTTCACTTCCAAATGCTTTGTATTCTGGAGAACATTATTGCAAGAAAAGTATAATTATATATGCAGATATGGTGTACTCAGACTCCAGAAACAGATTAAAGGCAAAGCGAGAATTATTAAGTGAAAGCCAAAACTTACTATGGTTGGTGTATTTTCAAATTTCTGGAAAAACAAAAAGTGATCTTAAAAAAGAAGGAAAGTGTGTAAGAGAAAATGTATCACAGAGACTGAACAAGTCAAAAATTGCATGGGAAAGTGGATGCTGACTGGTAAGAACAACTACTACCTTGGTTCAAATTTCTCAAAAAGAGAATATATGATTTACAGTGCCAATGCAAATAGCTCCTTGAAGCTCAGGATTGAAGTTTAAGATTAGAACACAAATAGTCAAGAGAGATTTGAATGAACCTTGAATGAATGAATCTTGAATGAATTCAAATCCTTGGAACCAGATGAATTACATCTTAGAATGTTGAATAAACTTGTTGATTATCTGTCTGCATTTGTATTACTTTTGAAATATCCCAAAGTAAAGAATGTATATGTATTACAAGATAAACTATTTCAATTTAAAATTGTTTAGATAATGTTCTGATCAGCAGTTAAATTTATATAGGAGTTCCAAGTCATGTCTATTAGATTGATGGCTCAAGAATTATATTCAAAGTTGCCAGTGGATCCATTTCAAAATTGGGGGACATATTATATGAGGAATTGGTTTTGTATCAATGTCATTAGCCAAAAGAGTAAATAATCTCTTCTCAGTTGAATATTAAGAAAATCTGAATAGAGAAATTAAAAGAGAAACCAAATATTAATGGTACACTCATTCTTTAGAAATTTTCAAGCACAAGCTGAGTATTATCTGTCAGAATTGCTTTATTTTGATTCCTACGATGGTGGGATTTTAAAAGCCCAATTCTGTACACTCCCAGCAAAACTTTCTGTTGAGAAAGTTGATAGCCCAGGAATAAATTTATAGAAATACTTACATTAGCAGCTGAAACAGAAGTGTGCTATGGAGGCCACAATACTATAGTTTTTCTTCCCAAACAGAACTCTGATAATGAACACGTATGTTACCAAATAAGGTCTGTACCTCAATACTGAGTTGTTGTAACATTTATTCTTGAAAACCTCATGGTAACTAGGAAGGAGAAATTGAAAATCAGATCTATCTGCATCCATCTAGGCTATCTAATTTTACTAATTCTCTTACTGGGTATTGTCCTAAACTAATATGCATTTAGATTGTCCTTAGATTCCATCCCTCAGACTTTACTAATAACTCCTGACATCATTTTTTTAAATTAATGTTTATGAAGAGATTTTTTTTACAGAGTAAAAGCAATGCAAACTTAAAAAAACAAAAGAAAAGTAATGTGAATAAGTAAGAAAGGAAAGAAAAAAGAAAGAAAGAAAAAGAAAAGGAGTTATAAAAAGGCAGCTTTCAATCTTCTTTACAGCAGTTATAAAGGTGTTTATATTTTATATCCTCTATTTCTATAGTTACAATACATTGTGGCTCCTTCTTCAGTATTCTACCCTTTCTAATCATCAAACCCATAAATCACAAGTTCATTTTTTCCCATTTCAGCTAAAATTTCATTAAGGATTTCCAGTCACTGACAACTATAGTTGCCTTTTCCTTATCAAGCAAGCCAACTTTGCCATCTATTCAAATTCTGTTACTTCACCAACTATTCCTCTTTTGTGGGTATTTCAGCACTTTTCCATTTT